ATCTATCTATCTATCTATCTATCTATCTATCTATCTATCTATCTATCTATATCTATCTATCTGATTTTTTCACCTTCAGATAGAGACAAAGAGATGCTGGACATGAGATAAGACTTTGAATGTCTGAAGTTAAATTAATACCTCTGATTAATCGGGTGAATCAGCCTTGCTCAGCTCTTTTAGAAAATGCAGAATCAGGTTTGAATCGGTAGGCTGCCTTCCTAGAAGCATCACTTCATAAGGATATTTATCAATGCCTCTTGAATCAATTTGTCCGGTTTCAGGGTGTCTTTACCACTTGTGAAATTAAGGCATGGAGCACCCAGAGTCTCAAACAGACAGTTAGAAAATGCTGACGTTGATACATTTTTTAAAATAATGACAGTTTTAAATTATTGTTTTTTTTCCTAACATATTACATACTTAATTTATGCTTCAACAACAACAATAATGATGATGACAACAACAACAACAACAATAATAATAATAACAATAACAATAATAATAATAATAATAATAACAATAATAATAATACTAATAATAATAATAATAATAATAATAATAATAATAATAATAATAATATAATTATATTATAAAAATTAAAACAATATTTATTTAAACATTTGTGGTTGCTTTTGTAAGGGTCATTTTTTGTAACATGGTCAAAATGCCTCATTAGTTATGAATTTGACTCTTCTCAATATACAGAGATTTGCTCATGTTTGACATGAGTTAAGTTGTGAGGACGTGAGAGACAAAAACTAAGCCAGGGTTTTTCCCGTGCCGGCATTCTGGTGTACTGACCTCAAGACGGATCTGAGCCAGTCGGCAGGTCATATGCTATAGGCTGCCGCCATCTTGAACAGATGTACTCTGACTTAGGTCCGGATTGGCATAAAGCGCTCAGTAAAATTGGGAGGGGGTGCTGGAGGCGGATGACGACATTTTGGGAGCTGGGATGGGATGCAGTGGGAGGAGCAGTCGGGTAGCGGTCGGGTTATGGGGTGGA